TTCTTCATCCATATTTTTCTCCTTATCTTTGATAAGTGTTCAATTTATGTATTCTTTGCATGTCATTTTTACACTTATTTTGCATGAATTTGATAGAAAATTAAGTGAATTAACTCTCTTTAGATTAGAACTACATAATGGGACAATGAAATTTAGAAAAACTTGAAACTAATGATTTCTTGGTGATTTACAACAATTTTTACAAGAATTTAAGGATGTGCAACTTAAGTCCCAAGAACGGTGCTAAGTGCTAAAAAGGCGGTAAAAGAACCCTCGTGAAGAGGAAACCTAAAGCACCCACTTGAGGAAAGGCAATTAAAGCTACAACGGCTCAAGCTTCATAACTGATGTTGAGTGCTCAAAAGGTCGTTAAAAGGAAACCTTTGTAGTTGAATACCAAAGCTGGAGTTGAGCACAATTGAAAAAAATCTATAAATACAAATCCCATGTTTTCATTTTAGGCATTGAGTGATGAAGCAACTGAATAATGGTATAAATTTGTATTCTGCTTTATGAGTTGTTGATTTCTCTATGGTGACAATGGGACAATAACTTCCTTTTTCTTTTCGTTTGTGCAATTAATCCCTTAAATGTTTATACTTTCCATTGATTTCGTAATGCTTGTCTTAGGGTATACCTTAGAGTATAATCTAGTTGTTGAAAGTTGTCATGAATGCGGTTTCAATAACCAAACTAACTAAATCAAACCAAAGAAAACTAGTTGCCAAGGATAAAACTAGGCATTTGGCCCCATAATTCTAAATCTTAATGCAGATATTGAACAAAACTTATGCCAAGGAATTACGTAAGTTGTTCAAGACTTAAATAGACACAACAAGAGGAATTAGAGAACAAGGAAAGTAATATCTAACCCCAACATTATCTTCAAACGTTGGGATATATCTAGTTAAATTAAACAAAGATCTATAACCATGGAGCAAGTCTCTAGGATTGAACCTCCATAAGGTTGCTAAGTAATTTTGTTGCAAGAGGAATTTGTGTACAATTATTTAGAACTTTATCTTGGAATAATTAATTTTTCATACCTAAATTTGAAGTATTTGAATGTTGTTGTATTCATTTTTATCAAATTTTCACCTAGATCTAGTCTCCAATCCACCGAATCTATATATTATCTATTATTATCCAAATTTCCTGAAAAAATCCCAAAATCAACTATCAATATATATTTACTGCTTTCCTATGGATACGATAACCCTTTTGACTATACCACAATTAACTTGGTTCACTTGCCAATTGGTCACATGACTGTTACTTTTTTAAAACTTAATGTGAAGGTGGAGTTTGATCACTAATGAATAAATCAAAAAATACTTTTGTGATTTAATCCTTCTGCCAATTAATCTTCTTCATCCACATTGTTCTCTCTCATCCATTCATTCATATCATTCCATTCACATTCATATCATTCATTCACATTCATATCATTCATACACATTCATTTACAGTCATCTACTTCATCTATTATAACATTTCCCTTTTCATTTATATTTATTGAATATGGAGGTATTGCATGAGAGTTTTTTTAGGTTACTATTATAAGCATTGGCCAAACCGATCAAAATTAAACTAATATTAAAAATAGATTTAATATAATGTTGGCTAAGGTGACTCTAAATTAAATAAATTTTAAAATAAAAAACACATTAGTGTCAGTCAGACCGATGCTAAACTACTTTAATTAAAAAAGCAATTTAAAAATTAGTGATAAATTAGCGTCGACTAAGTCGATCCTACTTATAATTGACCTTTAAGAGTTGACACTGACGAATTAACATCCATAATTTTAAATTTGCATGCGTGTGTGATGTAAGTCTGACACTAGTAACTATTTAGCTAGGTTTCTTCTTGTTAGTATTAGCTTTTGGCTGATGCTAAATCCATGTTGAATGTGCCTCTGTTATCACCATTGGCTTTAACCTCTTCCTCTTTTATCCTTCTTCTCTTCTTCTTCCCTTTAATATATAAAAAATCTAATTAGACATAGGGGGAATTTGGTGCTCAATGTACCAATGGATTTACCAGCGAAAATATTTGTTGGTAATTGAAATTATAATTAATTGACATAATTTATCGATAAAAGTGATCTTCAAATATGTTACTAACGAAAATATCTTCAATTAGAGGGTCTTAATAGAAGAAGATTCCCTTAAAAGTAAAGAGTAATTAGTGACAAAAAGTAAGGTTTTTGCTTACTTAAATGGTGATAGTTCTTTTGTATTTGTTGTTGTATAGTTAAAAAAAAATATTGCTAGCATTATACATAGTTGTATTTTCTTCCACCAAAACTTGTATTCATTTTTAAAGTATAACTTGTATTCGTTTTGAAAGTATATGGTTGTGACATTATAAATGAACCCATAATTGATTATTTAGGATTTGTTTACTTTAAATGATGGATTTGAGGGAGAATGAGGGAATGAATTTGGGAGAATTTGAAGGCAAAGTTTGTGTTGGTTATTTTAAGGGATTTGAAGGTGAAAGTGAAGAGATTTGAAGGTAAATTTTGTGAATAATTTGATGGATGAAAAAAATGTTTTAAAAGATTAAAATGAAAAATTACAATTTTGCTCTTATAGTTAAAATTAATATATTATTATTATTGTTATTATTATTATTATTATTATTATTATTATTATTATTATTATTATTATTATTGTTATTATTATTATTATTACTACTACTACTACTATTACTATTACTATTGCTACTATTACTATGGGTTGTTTCTACTTCTTTCATCTGTTGTTGCTTCTTCTTTCATCGGTTGTTGCTTCATCTTCTTCAACCCACCAATCACACAATCTCTCATGTGAGTAATTATTCCATTCGTGAAACTCTAGTCGTGAACCTAAACAATATTGTAGAGGGTGTTACAATCCTTTAAGATGATAGTGGAGCCCAAAACATTGATGGATTGCAAAATAAATCAGAAGGTTTTAAAAGTGAAATCACCGATGAGCACACACATAAAAAACTAGTGTGACGAGGCAGATGGATGATAATAAGTTCCCATCAAGGTCAAAATCGATTCCTCACACAGTTTTCTCCTACGATAATTGATTCTTTTGCTAGTTAACCTCACAAAGAATTAGTTCCCATATGTCGGAATCAATTCTCTTCATCCGGTAGCCTCTCATAGAAACTACATGTCTCCATCCCATGGATTCTTTTCATCCTGAGAATGACTACTTACCTCATGAAGATACTATGCAGTTATATTACAAGATGAAGAACACGACAAACTTCACACAACTTCACAACACACTAGAGCACTCTTCAAATACCCCACTCTTTGTAGGCTAGCAATGCACAATGAAGTAGATATACTTGGAATATCAAGGAAAAGAAAATGTTAATTGGATAAATGTAACATATTTTCTTTATAATCCTCTTAATCCAACAATGATAAAAAATTTGATCTCTCCCACAAATTCGTCGTGTTAACGAACTATCATCAACAAAAAGAAATATGATTCACATTCACTCGTCCTTACACGTTATAATACATCAGTAGAAGTGAATAGAAATTTAAAAGAAACATATTCAATTATAATAGGAAACTCATACAATTAATTATGGATATTGTCATAATGAATTAGATCAATATTTCGAATAATAAATTATATTTTTTAATGATAACTAACTATTTCACGTCTTTAAATAAAAATATTTATCATCGCTAGTTATATGATTTATCATATATTGTTTGATTTACTATTTGATTTAAATAAATATAGTGAAAAGAAATCTTATGTTACTAAAGAAAGAAAGAAGAAACGAACTTATATAATAGATTTTGAATATTTGTTACTTTAATTTTTCTTGTATTATTATTAGTGTTATTGTTATCTATATTTATATTTATATGTATATATAAAAAGGACTCCTTTTTTTAACCACATTATTTTCTTTTCAATAATTTTTTCCATTAAATAAAAGTGTTTTAAATTAAAATAGTTATTTTATCAATTTTACCTTTTATGTGATTCCTTTTTTAAATTTTAATTTTCTTTTATTTGATAGTTTTTTAAAATCAATGTTTAATTAGAAATATCCCTACAAAATAAATAAAAATTATTTTATAATAAAATTATAAAAATATTTGTTATAATCATTAAAAAATGGGAACACGTGTAGTGCATGTATTCTTATTAGTTATTATAATAATAATTAAGAATAATATTTATGTCTGAAAATATTAATAAATAGAGTAAATAATATTTATTTCCAACAAATTTTACCTCTTTCGTTTCTTTCTTTCTTTTTTTTCTTCAATTCTATTTTTTTAACACAGATTATTAGTGATAGTTTTTTACGTTAAATGATTGATCTCTTTCCTAAACGTTTTAATCCAAAAATAATTAATTCCAAAAGACATTATTAATTGTGACTCGTAAAACCAAATAAATAATACTGGATTTAATGTAAAACTTCCAACATAGAAAATATATTGTAAATTTAATATATGTATAAATATATATTGGATATTTATTTATGACAGATGAAAATGGTGTTCGTTATGAAAATAAATTTAATTTTGATATGTTATTATAAGAAAATTATTAAATAATAATTAAGTTTTAAAATATAAAATAATTAATTAGTATTGTGACTAATTTAAATATTAATTTATGATTAAAAGTTATTAATATTTAAAACTGTTTTTGTTATAAAAAATCCATAATTTAATTCTGAATTAGATGGAAAAATCATAATTTAAAGACATTTACTGTTATTTGTAATACCCATAAAAATGTTAATTTTTTTATTTATGTAGATGGGAATTTATTTCGTAAAAATTGATTTCTTTTATTTTTCTTAGGAGGTACTGTGAATTGTTTTAAGAAGTTTAAAGTGTGAAACTTGAAAGATTGGATTTTTACTATTGCATGCTTGTTTTCCACACGTGTCAACTTATAGATGTGCAGTGCCTATACTGTGCTATGCACAGCAGCGTGCTGGTCTACACATCCATCCATCACATTATTTTTTTTTCTCTTTCTCTTTCTCTTTCTTTCTCCCAACAACAAAAATAAACTCATATATTCTTCCGGTGAGATCCACAACCTCAACACACACATTGTCGTTTGCCATTAAATGTTGTCCTTTTAATTGCTCCTATGTATGCATGAACCTGCCAACATTTATACAAACACCACTCTCATTATTAACTTTCTCTTCTCTTTTCTCATAACTCTATTTCCTTCCTTTTCCATCTTCAACACTACCAGATGTCAGGTATGCAAATGCAACTCAACCCAACTTCAATTTTATATCTTTTTTTATATTTTTTATTTCGTAAGTTACGATTTTTTTATGTGGGTTGTTGTTGTTGAAAGGGGTGGAAGAAGGGGGTGGTGTTGAAGCTGAGAATTGGGAAAAGGAGTGAAGAAGGTCCAAAATTGGAAGCTTGAAGAAGAAAGCCATAAACGCGTCTTCAAGATTCACGCACTCGCTTAAGAAACGAGGGAAGAGGAAGATAGACTTCAGGGTTCCCATTGAGGACGTGAGAGACGCTAAAGAGGAATCTGCGGTGCAGGAATTGCGTCAGAGACTGCTGCAGAAGGGATTCATGCCTCCCACCCATGATGATTATCATGCATTGTTAAGGTCTTTTTTCTTTTCTTTTCTTTTTGATTCTTTTTTATTACTTTCTCTCACTTCTTCTGAATGGGCATTTTGGTCGGTGGTAGGTTTCTTAAAGCAAGAGACTTTAACATTGAGAAGACAATGCAGATGTGGGAAGAAATGCTAATTTGGAGAAAAGAATTCGGAACTGACGCCATCCTCCAGGTAATTTATTAAGGGTTTGACTATTATTCTAGATAAGGAATTTTAATACAGTACTTAAAATCAATAAATGATTTATAGTTCAACGTTCAGGGTTGGTAGGAAGTTGTTTCAACCTTCAACATAGTTCATGGTTTAGACTTTTGTGCTAGTGTAAATATTATATTTAGAAGAAAAAGTTGTGTTTTACAAAAAATATTTAAAACAAACCTATTTGGGTGGACCAACCTCAGTTCGTTCTTTCTATTTTTTATCTTATGATTTCTTAGTAAGGACTATGATTAGCGAAGTGGGATTCATGAATCAGCGACTTTGAGAAGATTAATGTGGAGATTAATTGTGCGGCGGATTGTTCGGTGGTTTTGTTTTTTTCGCTTGTAGGTGTCGGTTAACTATTTATTGGCTACCAGTTATGTATAGGTCCACACTTCTATTGTCAGAATCAACCATTAATAGTTATTTCACTCTAAAATTGAAGAAATAATTAGGTTTCTCTGCATTTTCTGAAATAGCTTTAATAAAAATTTTGACACAGGTAAAAATATTGGTAGATATTTATGATATTAATTTTGATTACTCAAATTATAGCCTGTTCACATTACAGACTGGCACATTATCCAATGAGTTTGACTTCTCAGGTTTGGATAATGCAAGGAGATCTAAGTTGTATCTTTAAATAAAATTAGTTGTTTTAATTTTTCTTAAAGCAGATTCGTACAATTGTGTGGTGTTTGTATATTTCAGAACAAGCATGTGTTCTGTATCAGGATAATATAGTATTGAAACATGACTTAGTTGGTTGAGTCTAATGGTGTTCTGATATTTGAAGGATTTTGAATTTGAAGAGTTGGAAGAAGTGTTGCAGCATTACCCTTAGGGGTATCATGGAGTTGATAAGGAAGGTAGACCAGTTTACATTGAAAGGCTTGGGAAAGCTCATCCAAGTAGGTTGATGCGTATCACCACAATAGATAGATATTTGAAATATCATGTCCAAGAGTTCGAGAAGGCTCTGCAAGAAAAATTTCCAGCATGTTCCATTGCAGCCAAAAGAAGGATTTCATCAACCACAACAATATTGGATGTACAGGGCTTGGTAAGTTGTATTGTGTCACTCAAGTTTTTCTCAAATTATGTGCCTCATCAATGAAACATGGTTAAGGTGTTTGTATGCCTTATAGTTTGTTGTACTTAATCAGGAATTTCTCAATTTCAGTATCTTCCTCGTTTTCAGTACGTTTTTCAATTTTTAACTTGATGTTTGTAATACAGGGAATAAAAAATTTCTCTCCTACTGCTGCAAGTCTATTAGCTGCCATAACAAAAATAGATAACAGTTACTATCCTGAGGTTTTCATCCTTCCCTTTCCCAAAGCAATTTGTTTTCCACTCATCTTCGTGTGTGCATTAAAATCATCAACATTCATTGCAGACATTACACCGAATGTATATCATCAACGCTGGTCTGGGCTTTAAGAGGATGCTTTGGCCTGCTGCACAGAAGTTTCTTGATGCGAAAACCATTGCAAAGATACAGGTGAAGGGTATAGCTTTTAGCTGGTGAAATTTCATATTCTTCATGAAATCATACTGATATTATATGTTCCAACCTAAATTTGCAGGTTCTTGAACCTAAGTCTACATGTAAATTACTGGATATCATTGACTCTAGGTATGCACTTCTCATACTGCCTTATAATATTTAATCAAATTGTTGTCTAATAATCTATGGTTTGTAAATATGTACACAGCCAGTTGCCAGAATTTTTAGGTGGGTCGTGTACATGTCCTGGAGAAGGTGGATGTCTTAGATCTAGTAAAGGGCCATGGAATGATCCTGATATCATGAAGGTAATGCTGCTTTGCTATCTCTTGTTTTTCTGTATTTTATGGGACTAGCATTGGGACGCTAATTTAGGTGTTCTGATTTTAGGTGGTTCATAATGTGGAGGGAACGTTTGTGAGAGAAAACACCCAAATGTCCAATGAACATCAGAATTCAGACTCTTTCTGGATACGCTCCCAGAAGGCAAGTCTCAATCTTCCTGACTTGGATGGTTAGGATTCCACATACAGTTCCTGTATGTATTATTTACAGCTAAAATTATATGTTTTTGACTTCCTTTTCTCACTTCCAGGGACAGTGCAGCGATACATCAACAGCAGATTCCGGGTCAGATCTTGATGATTCTTTTTCCTCCATCAGTCAAAGCAGATTCACTTTTCCTCGTTTAGCCCCAGTTCATGAAGAAGTTAGTTCCCTAACTTAGTCTAATTCATTTTTCTAACTCTTGTTCTTGAGCCTTTATTCATTCAGAACACTATCTCGTCTGTAGGTTAGAGTAGCAGATAACTTCCACAGTTGTTGTGATGATAGAGCTTCTGCTTCCGAGAAAGTGCTCGAAAGTGATGAATTTCACATTACTCGGGACCCATCACTGCAGAATGATGATACAGCGAATATTGCTTGTATAGAAAATGCAGAAAATGCAGGTATTTTAGTGTGATATTATTGGAGCATTTGTTTGTTTTTATATATATTATGTGGAAACCAAGTTGGAAACATTTGTGCATGTCTATTTCACTAGTAAGTATATATCAGTGTTTTCCTTAACTGGTTTACCCAAAGTTCATACTTTTTACAGGTACTTCAGTCAGAAGTTGGTTGAGCTTTGTTAAGGAAAAAGTGGAGCAAACAAATATCTTAAATATGTCGAGGGTGCTTATGTATTTTTTGGAAAGATTGGTGATGTTCTTCCGCAGTTTAAGATTAGAATTTTGGAGAACACAGAACAATATTTACCCATCTGTTGCCACGGAGCATGAAAACAAAAACCTTACAGCAGCTGGTGAAACACTTTCTGAACAGAATCTTATTCTTCAATGTACTCAACGTCTTGAGATATTGGAAAAAACATTTGGGGAACTTAGCCACAAGCCTGCTGGCATACCTTTGGAGAAGGAGCAAATGCTTATGAGTTCCTTGGATAGAATTAAATGTGTTGAGTTTGACCTTGAAAAGACTAAGAGGGTATTTCTTCATGCTTTCATCAGTTTTCTGTTAACTGTTCTGATTTATATAGTATTTATAATTTGTGCCATTAATGCAGGTGCTTCATGCTACAGTGATGAAGCAGTTTGAGATTGCAGAGCTGGTGGAGAATTTGAGAGCATCAAACAGTCAAGTAAATTGCTTTTCGGTAATATTTTACATTCCAACGTTTTATATGTTCCGATATTTTATAGCAACTTTTCAGACAAATGATTTGATTATGTTGTTTTTAATGATAGGTCCATATAAGAAAAACACAATGATGCTGTTAACTGAATATTACGAAGCTTCTGGAAAAAATTGTTCATCTCAAATCATCAAGCAATTTTGAGGCATCAGCATCAATAAACTTTGTAATTAGATTTAAGATTAATGGGTAGTGGTTTCAAGACTTTTCTGTTCTAGTCTTTATCAAGACATCTACATCATTAATAGAGAGTAAGCATGAACATAATTTTGTTGGTGATTTGGTATTTCCTGCCAAAATTTTCCTTTCAAATCTGTTCTATTTATATATAAAAGAATCATTAAAATTTATTTGATACCATTTATCATTTACTAATTTTATATTTGCAATTTTTGTACCCAACTAACCCCATTCCCCAAACTATTAGTAAATTTTGAATATTTAATTGGGTGTTAAATCCTCGGTTGATTGGATGTTAAAGATATATTGGACATAACATCTTCATGTGGGAGAAACAACAAAATAGTAAATATTTTCATTATTCATTTATAGATAATATTAATGAAATAAAAAATTTCAATTACTGATTATTAATTACTATTAATAGTAATAATAACTATTATTGTTAATGAAAATGTGATATTATAATAATTAATCATTGTTAATGTTAATAACTTGAAGTTTATGTGAATATAAATTATTAAGTTTAAACTTAGAAAATATAAAATATTAATAATATTTTAATATAAATAAATATTAAATGTTGTTCTTAAAATTTGATTTGATTAAAAGTTGTTTTTATTAACAATGATTTTTATAAAACAGATAAGTGATAATAACTATAATGAATTGTTGACTTAAAATATTTTAGTAACTTTATCTTTTTTTATAAATTTTTTTGTATAAATTCTTATGAAAACTAAAAGAGCTTTTCATTAATAATTAAAATATATATGTAAGGTAAATAAAGTTAAAAAACAATAATAAAATATAAACACAAATTGAAACACACAAAGAAAGTGAAATGATAACCATGAAATAAAAAATCTTGAATGACTTTTCATACAAAAGATATCATTCATCGTATTACCAAGAATAGTTTAAGTCATAAATTTTCACTCCACTCATTCATATGAATACAGTTTAACAATCTCATTATTTTTATACAATTTTTTTTAATCATAAGGCTAAAATAACAACATCATTATCATTAACTTTTTAGGTTAAGTTATTTGTGAATAATGTATTTTCATAGTTGAATTTATTCTACAAAGTTTTTTTTTTTTTTTTACTTCAGGAGCTTTTACTATCTAGTATTTGTCTTTCAAACTTATTTTGTCTTCTACCGAATTGTGGGATGTGGACAGAAGATTATCCGACACTCAAGTTACTACTTTAGATTAGATATTTTAATCAAAGTTGGATTAATGCAAAAGTGTGAAGTCAAATGTGATTAAAATAGTATTTATAAAGGTGTTTTGCTGATCTTGAACCCTCACTTGAATGAGTCTCAATTATGGAGTCATTGACCCATAGGTCTAATGGTCAGGTTACTTGTGACAACCTACGATCATTTTGGCTAAGTTACATGTATATGAATGTCTTCGGTAGGCAGAAATAAATATTGGCAGATGGAACCCTACTCTAGTGAGAAACCCACTTATCAAAGGATGACATATATCCTTCGGTTTGGGCAACATAGTACTCGGTAATCGACCATCAATACCCGCTACGTAACATTGAACTCACTTCTTCAAAGGTATAATCATCGGTATCTGGTAGATAGCTCATCCGTTACGAAGTACTGGATGATTATGGTGTGAGTTTTAATGATTATGAGGGGCATGGTACCAGGTATCCGGTAATCGGTACTCGGTAAGCGATATCTTATTGATGTTTAGTTAGCTAATCATTTTAATTGTATTTGATAAAGTTGAAAGATCTTCTACCACATGCAATACAAATAAATTTGCAATTATAAACTAGAATGGGACGTAAATATTATCTTTTGTGACTTCTTTCTATTCTTCGTAATTTGTGTTTTCTTATGTCACCTTTTGGAATAATTTCGATAAGATGTAAATTACATTTTTGTCATTCTAACCATTAGAAACCTTGAATATGATTATACTTATTATGGTGGAAGTGTTATAGTTTATATAATATGATAATGTGAATGTTTTGGTATAATAACTAATTAATAATTTGTATATAAATAAAATGATACGACTTATTTTGTTTACTAGTGTAATCTTATTTCTACTAAATGCTTTAATCAAAATAATTTGAATTAAATGTAGGAAAAAAATTCAAATTGTCAAATGTAATTCATATTACTTTAATTTTATTTAAAAAAAATTATCTCAAATTTAAATATGTATTTTTAGATTTTAAATCAAAGTCCACCTAACTTGACATAAATTCAAGTTGAATCAAGTTTGTCCTGACCTAGGTCAAGTTAAATTAAATCAAGTCTAGCTTGTGTTGAGTTAACTTGGGTTTAGATCAAGCCAAGTTAGTTTATACTCAGGTCGAATCAAGTTGGGGCAAGTCCACATTAAGTAGAGTTAGGATAGGTACTAGTTCATCCAATTTGAGGTCAACCTATGTTTAATCGAGTTAGGCTATAGCCAGCTTATGTTTCGCCCCTTCAACATCAGACCAGGCCTCATCAAATCAAGACTGGGTTAAACTAGATCCAACTTTAACCTAGCCAATATAAGCCTAGAGTCCAAGATCTAAGTTAAGGCAAATTAGTCTCTACCTCGACCAAGCTAAGATGGTTTGGCTTTATATCGACCCGAGTCGATTTGGTCCTATATCAAGCCTTGTTACCTTGACCCTTGGTCGAGCCAAGTTGACTCTGTCCTTGGTCAACTCGAGAGTTGACTTGAGCTTGGTCTAGCTATGTTTGCTTAAGGCCTAGTAAAATCGAGTAAGCTTAACACCAAGATGAGCCAAGTTAGCCTAAACCCAAATCTATATGAGGCAACCCAGACCTAGGTATATATGAGTCAACCCGTACCCTAGTGAAATATAATAAGATTATATCTAAGTCGAGTTAAGGCAGACCGGAACAAGTCAACTTGAACCTAGTTTATGCAAGTTAGCTTGAATAGGTTTTCCAAGCTCAAATTAAACTCAGTTAGCCAAAATCTAGGATCAAGGCGAGTTGACCTTGGTCCAAATTGAAACGAATGGATTCAAACTCAAGTCGAGTTGTACTAGTTCAAGCATAAGTCGAGGCAGAAGAACATCATTCATTCAAGTTGAAAAATGTTCATATTTATCTTTTTTAGATCAACACACATTCAACCAACTTCAAATAGAATTAAGAAAGATTATGTTTTTTGAATCCAAGTGAAGTTTATATTCAATCAATACATAAACTTACATTAGTACAAAATCATGTCGAGTTGTATTAGATTATTCTTACATTAAGTTAATTCCACATCAAATTTAAATGTAATTGAAAGAATTGATTTAATTTAAATCTAATCTAATTTAAATTAAATTAGAAAAATATAGATTAATATAATATAATTCAAATGAATCCAAAATTTAGATCCAAACTAAATTTTGAGAGAGCTGATCTATAATCACCGCTAAGTTAAATTTTCGCTTTTATGGTGTAAAGAAGGATTTGTATAAAAAATTTAATACATATTACACGAAATGATGAAGACTATTACTTTATATTGTTATAAAGATTGTTACACCACAACAGGAAGTCTCGCGTGTTATTAATATTTTCACTGAAATCAATACATTAATAGTAAATAACAATGCGGACTATGCATGACAGAATTTATGAGATGTAAACAGTTTTTTATATTATAGTTTAAATTACGTAATTGCATCAATACTTGAAAGATTCGTTAGATGAAACCAATTTAAAATACAAAATTGCCCGTATAAATTAAGAACGCCATTTTGATAAAGAATTTTATCGGAATTAGACTAAATGTATCCCCTTAGACAGATGACGTCTTTGTTCACCAATTAAGAATGCTCAAACTAAACTTGCACCACAAATCTTCACTGAATTACATCACACATACTCTAATTATACTTGCTAATAATTACATTTGCAATGGGATAAGGACCTTTCATCTCACTTTGTGAATATTAGTGATGACACTATTAGAAGTTCCATGTCGATTAGATAAGACAAATTTAGAGAGTGAATGCAAATCTCACCTTACAACCCGATTTTATAAGGTTAAATTAGACTTAAAATCCACTTCTTAAAAGACAACCACAACAACTAAATTTGAAAATTAAATATTTATTAAAAGATGCCATATTAAGCCCTAAAAAATCCTCCAAACCCATAAAATCCAACTAGTGTGTTCTAGATGTGTGCGTCAAATATCAGATATATAACTATGATTTCTTATATACATGGACTCATTAAGAATGATTATCTGATAAAGATATTATTAGATCTGCTTATAATTTAAATGTATTTATTTATTTAAAAATAGTATAGACATCAAGTTTATAATTATTCTAAGTATGTCTTATTTAGTAAATAGCTAAATATTTCATGTTTAACAAATATTGAGTTTAAATGTGAACATATTCAAACTATATTTCTAAATGGTTTATAAAAAATAATAACTAAAAATATTCGTACATAAGCTCTTACATCGAAAAATTCCAAGACATATGCCCCTTTTAACTATACACCAATTTATTATATTGGTTCAAATAATAGGTTGATATGAAGGTTGTGTACTTTTACATAAAATTAGTGTTTAAAGAGAATAGGAAAGGATAATTTGAGAAGCAAAATGTGATCCTTTACACATAGAAAGAGATGATAGATAGAATTCATATGGTTTAATCATCCTGATAGTCTCTATTAGATCTTTAAAAGTGAAAAATTAGTATAATTGAATCCATGTCATTAAATTGAGTTAACAAAGTTAAATTTAAGTTGAATTATGATTGTAAGGTGAAATTTTAATTAAAATGATAGACATAAATAATCGCAATTGTTACCATTGTCACGTCATAATCTTTCATCTTTCTTAAAATCAGAAACCTATAAAGAAAACCATACACGACCAACTAAAACCCCTTCGAATCACGCCGCTATCACGCTTCCAAACTCAATAGTAAACTTGCAAAATCAATGCCCTACATCACGAGCTTCCTCTTCTTCTTCAATATCAAACCTGCAAAAGAAAACAATTGAAACAAATTGCAACTCAATCGTAAACTTGCAAAATCAATCCTAAGCTTCATCTTCTTCTTCAACATCAAACCTGCAAAAGAAAACAATTGAAACAAAAATTTTCACTTTTTTTAGGCCAAGTGAGAAAAAATATAAAAGAAATGACCT